CTAATTAATTTTACCTTCGCCATCTATAAAATTTATCCCCTGCTCCAGCCAACTATTACTATATTCAATTTTGTTGAAGCACCTCCCCCTTCCTCCTTCCTACTCCTCGCTTCCTCCTCCTTCCAGCCTCCTCCCGTTATGCTCTCTTACAGATTATCGTTAATCGCTCATAGACTGCGTAATCTTTATTTGTTCTTCGCGCTATCCGCCCCCACCACACGGCTCACGTACGTGCATGCACGCAGCACAACTCTCTTCCATCTATTGGCTGCGTATGCGTCTTTCTCAGTCTATTCACACACCGCACGGTCTCTTCCTTCTACCGGCGACAGATTAGCGCAGAACTCAGAGTAGGAGACCTACTCAGGCCAGGCCTCCACACCTCGCACAGTTCAGTCCCTCTAGCCCTAGCGTCGCGCGTTGGCGGCTGCGTCGTCTCTGGGGTGGGTGTCCGATCGGCCGACGTAAATGTGAATTTCCAGCGCGAGTATTATAAAGTGGCCGCAAGACTCGCTGACCCAGTTGCGGCGCGCTTGCTCGGCAATCTGCATTTAGCAGACTCGGGCAATCTTTTAGTATGTGCAAACACTGCCTCGAAGACAGAGAACTTGACAGATGTCTATTAGGGATAAGACCGCGCGACCCGACGAGAACAAAGGGGAGGGAGGGGGACGAGAATAGAGAAGGGGAGCATAGGAGGCGCGAGAAAAGAGCGAGAGGGAGAAAAAAAAGGGGAGGGGAGGGGAGCGAGAGATAGAGAAGGGGGAGATAGGGAGGAGAATCGAGAGCGAGAGGCGAGAAAAAAACGAGGGGAGGACGATGAGATAGAGAAGGGAGATAGGGGGAGGAGAAAAGCGAGAGCTCAAAAAAAAAGGGGAGGAGGGGACGCGAGCAGATAGAGAAGGCGAATAGGGGAGAGAACGACAGCGAGAGATTGAGAAAAAAAGGGAGGGGGAGGGGAGACGAGAGATAGAGAAGGCGGAATAGGGAGAAGAGAGCGAGAGGGAAAAAAAAGGGGAGGGGAGGGGAGCGAGAGATAGAGAAGGGAGATAGTAAGGACAAATGAGGAGAAGGAGTGAAAAAAAGAGAGAAAGCGAAATACAGAGAACGGCCGGAGATTTAGGAGGGAGGAACGTGAGCGAGAGGAGAAAAAAAGGGGAGGGGGGGGAGCGAAGCATGAAGAAGGGGGAGATAGGGAGGGAGAAGAAGCCGGAGAGGGAGAAAAAGGGAGGGGAGGGCGAGCGATGAGATGAGAAAGGGAATTCAGCATGAGAGAAAGAGGGAGAGGGAAAAAGAGAGTGGAAATCAAATACAGAGAAGGGGGAAATTTAGGGAGCGGAGAAGAAGCAGAGGAGAAAAGGGGAACGGGGGGGAGCAGAGATAGAGAAGGGGACGACTTAGCGACGAGAAAAGACGGGACCGTGAGAATAAAGTGAGAGGAGCGAAAGCAGAGAAGGGGAGATAGAGAAGGAGAAAAAGGAGAGGCGAACAAAAAGAGGTGGAAGGAGCGAAGATAGAGAGGGGAAATAGGAGGACAGAAAAGAGCCGAGAGCAAGAAGGAAAAGACCGGGGAGGGGCTCACACACATTTAGAACACGGGAAGAGCAATGAGGAAAAGAGGATATGGTAAGCTTATAGTGGTTGTTGTCTGCTGTTAGATTAGAATATGGTAAGCTTATAGTGGTTGTTGTCTGCTGTTAGATTAGAATGGTAAGCTTATAGTGGTTGTTGTCTGCTGTTAGATTAGAATGGTAAGCTTATAGTGGTTGTTGTCTGCTGTTAGATTAGAATGGTAAGCTTATAGTGGTTGTTATCTCCTGTTAGATTAGAATGGTAAGCTTATAGTGGTTGTTGTCTGCTGTTAGATTAGAATGGTAAGCGGATGGCTGGCTTCTGCTGTTAAAGTGTGGTAAGGTTATGGTTCTCTTCTGTTGTTAGTATTGTAAGGTTATAGTTGTCTTCTACCATCGGAGATGTTAGCATAGTTGCCATCTGCCGTGGGAAAGATAATAGGTAACTTATTAGTACCGATACGTCGATAAATATTCTCGATTATCATTCGGTAAAGCCCTAATTTTCTATTCGTCTTCTATTAATCTCCTTACAGTCTTTGTCTCTGTCGTGCAATTCTTCGATGACGTCGTTGGAGCCGGATAAAGTGACGTCACCGTATAAGTTTGCCGATTCCTGTGTGATACGAGTCAGCTATGACGATGAGAAAATAGCCAATGACGCCGACGGACCTGTCTACAAAAGCATACTGGTGCGTTATCACTGTCATTGCGTATATGATTTCTCTATAGTCTGTACATTATTATTGTTATTATTACTATTACTATTATTAATTATAATTATAATTCTAATAATATCTTTATTATAAAATCTTATAATATAATTATAATACTCATTCAATAGATCTACGTTAAACGCGGTTGCTGTTAGAATGTTACTGCCAATGCGTATGCGTGATGCTAACGTTTATTCTAGATGTAGAATCAAAATGAGTTTACTCTTGCCGTGCACGTCGGCGATAAAAGAGAGCGTCGTTGTAAATTTCAATCTACTTAGAAATTTGTTCTATTCATTTTGCTGTGATTTCAAATTATAAGCCTTTATAGTTTATTCATCTGTAAACTCGCAATTGAAGAAAGTGCAAAATCTATTTAGATCAAACGAAAAGAGCATATCCACAAACATTCGCATGCCACAGATTATTACTAATGATCACACTGAGCTATACTGAGCTATGGAGATAACTACCATCTACTCACTCACTGATCCCTCTCTTTCTTTCTCTCTCGCTGTATATGTATGTATATATATATATATATATATATATATATTGGCAAGCGCGTTGAATTATCACCACAATACTAGAAGAGGTGGTCGCCATATTAGACCAAGAATCGGTTTGAAGACTGTTAGCATAATAATGTGCGTTGAAACAATGTCCAACCTCCTCGTTGTTAATATTTCTATATTATTGATTATTATTATTATTTATATTATTATATGTAGGTTAGTGTACTGATCATGAGTTCTCTTACAGATATGTCGGACAGACACGACAGAGAACGTGATACGAACCGCCATGTTGAAACATGGAGTACTGGGGAAAGCCGAAGACTACTGTATTGCACAAGTTCTTCCTAACGGAGGTTTGTTTTTCCCATATGTCCTCGGCATTGCAGTTTATATATGCCCAAGTGCTCTCTCTCCCCCTCTCCTCTTCCTCTCTCTCGCTCTCTCTCTCTCTCTCTCTCTCTCTCTCTCTCTCTCTCTCTCTCTCTCTTGACCGCCTTTGTAATGGTAATTCAATTTATCAGTCAGCTTTCAATTATCCATCGTAAGTCATCATAGATAACTATTAGTCTCTTCACTAGTCTTTTCTTTTGCATTAGACACATTAGTAATTGCGTTACAGAGGCGCAACTATAGCGCGATAGTGTGCAATAAGTGTAGAAAGCAGTGACCTCGCTATTCAGTAAGCTCTATAAGCAGTGACGTCGCTGATCAGTGAGCCCAGTAAGCAGTGACGTCGGTGGTCAGTGAGCTCAGTAAGCAGCGACGTCGGTGGTTAATGAGCTTAGTAATCAGTGACGTCGGTGGTTAATGAGCTTAGTAATCAGTGACGTCGGTGGTCAGTGAGCTCAGTAAGCAGCGACGTCGGTGGTTAATGAGCTTAATAATCAGTGACGTCGGTGGTCAATGAGCTCAGTAACGCTAACGCCAGTAGTCAATAAGATAGAGTCCTGAAGGCAGAGACGTGACGTGGTAAGAGGCACGGTAACATATTCTCAATTTGTTGACGTTCGCGCTTTGGGGTTTCCTCGCAGAACTTCCAATCGCTCAAGACGCCAAAGCTTATTACGTGATCAACCAAATGGAGTCGGAATTGAACTTTGTCCTGCGGAAGAAGTCGCATCCAAAGGCGCAGACCTCTCCCTACAAGTTCTCCGATTTCTGCATCATCAAAGTCAGTCTGGACACAGCAGACGACAACGAGTTAGCAGACGGTCCGATCTACAAATGTATCCAGGTATGTCTGGGAATACTTTCGTCAGGATTTCACGATAATATAAAAAAATCTTGATAATTCATTTCATGATAAATCGATGTAATTAATTCGTTATCAACAGCTTTGACTAGACCAATTGTTAATACAGCTGATGACAGGTGTATTACATGGATTCATGATGAACACGTGATTAACACGTTATTAACACGTGATTAACGCGTGATTAACACGTTATTAACACGTGATTAACGCGTGATTAACACGTTATTAACACGTGATTAACACGTTATTAACACGTTATTAACACGTGATTAACGCGTTATTAACACGTGATTAACGCGTGATTAACACGTTATTAACACGTGATTAACGCGTTATTAACACGTGATTAACGCGTGATTAACACGTTATTAACACGTGATTAACGCGTTATTAACACG